AGCAAGGATTTGCTATAGTTACTCATAAAGTCAGGCATGCTTTTGGTTGTGCAGGTTAGTATTTATATTAATAGACTGAAGGAGAAGTGAGACTTCAGAGAAACTGGCCAGTGAATCATATATTAGAGATAATTAATGTTTAACTTCCCATAATGAAAATTAAGAGCTTGGTTGAAAGTTAATGTCTTATCAGGCATATGAAATATATATGTATAATATGTATATGTATAATATGTATATATGTATAATATGTATATATACATGTTATGCATATGTATGCATATGCATATATTTAAATGTGATCACTATTGCATTACTCCGAGTTGTATTTTATTATATTCATACTTGGAAAATTATCACTGTCAGTAATCAAGACAAAAGACTAAGGATCTGTTTTCAAGTCTTGATTGTTGTATTTCTCTATGGTTGTACAATAGTGATACTGATATGTCATTTATTAGATGATTAATATGCAGGGCCTCCACATGTGGTTTCTCCCCTTCGTGGAATTCAAAATTCTCACTCATTCAAAGATGAGTAACATTGGACACAGCCTGAAGTAGTAATTAACAGCAAACAATCTATGAGATTCCATTTTCTACCTCTTTACAGCCTACCCTGATACTTTACCACATTAGATGTTTAGAGACTATTTGCTTAATGAATGAAGTGACATAAAACAAGGACAGATTTATAGTAATTTTTTTCAATTTTCTTTACTTTCTTTCTTTTTTTTTTGCTCATCCTGGGGCTTGAACTCAGGGCCTGGTATCTCTCCTTGAGCTTCTTTGTGCTCAAGGATAGTGGTCTATCACTTGAGCCACAGAGCCACTCTTTTGGCTTTTTCTGAATAGTTTATTGGAGATAAGAGTCTCACATACTTTCTTGTCTGGGCTGGCTTCAAACCATGATCCTCAGATCTCAGCTTCCTGAGTAGCTAGGATTACAGGCCATGAGTCACTGATGCCCAGCTTTTAAATTTTCTTTATTGTATATGAATCTGAATTTGGGTCTTGGACTATTTATTGATATCAGCTAATTGTGAATATGAGTAAGAATTTATCTCTTAGACTTACATGGATCTCATTTGTTAGCTATGAAGATACAGCAATTTTATGTGACACCAAAACTAATACATAATCTATAAAATATAAACTCTTTTAAATAATATAAAATAAAATATGTATGAGGTAGTATATAAAACACATGTACTTTGCTGTATGTAGCCTCCACTTAGGTGAAAGCTTGTTAGTCTTGCTGAGACATATTGAGTAAATATAACATTTATTTATATTTAATAGATATTTATATATAATATTTATTTATAATATAATTTTTACTAATTTTAGAAAATTTTAATAATCTTCTCTTTATGGAGAACAAAGTTCTCTCATGCAAGAAAGCTTAGGTTTCTATTAAGAAGGAAACTACCTAAAGGTGTAACTCCTAAAAATTGTGTGAGTTGCTTTTAGAAGGAAGTACAGGGTGACCCACAGGATCCTCAGCAGCTTCATTGGCCAGAGTGAGACTGCTCTGACTTACCCTCAGCCTTCTTAAGACAGGGAAAGGTATCTTTTTTGTTTATTTGCTTCTTTTTTTTTTTTTTTACAAAATTTGAAATAATCGATGACCCTCACTCAGTTATCTTTCTTTATTTCTGTATGAGAGCTCATATTTTCACAAGTATGTTTAAGAATATTATGACAGCTTACATGGTTGGTCTCTTACCCTTTTTCAGTTTGGAGTTCCATCCCAGGAAAATAGAGTCACATTTTAAAACAGATATGGCTTTTTCTACAAGTTTCATTTCCTGCAAGAATATCAAGGTCACCCAGACTTGCATATGCTTCCTTTCTGTTCTTACTTCCCTCTATCCAACTAGAAAAATTTCCCTCATGGAAACACTGCTGTAGAACTCACTGTGTAGCTTGTCACCGTAGCTACAGTGGAACTGTTTTTATTTAAATCATCAAGGTGAAAAAGTAAGAAGACATACATGCCATAAGTAGCATTCAATAGCAATCTTAAATGAAACTTCTATTCCTCTAAGCCCTCTCAGTAGATATACCCACAGTGGCTCAGTGCGTCCTTTGTTTGTTGGCAATGCCAGGTTTATTTCGTTTAGTTGAATAGTTGTGTTTTTGAATGAGCAAACAATATTATTCTAATTATTCTAAACAATATTATTCTGTTAACATGCACTAGATCTTGCAACTCATAATAACCATTAGTTTGGTGTTTTGAAGACCACTGTGTGCTATAGAGATGTTCATAGGTTCAGCTTTTGTTTTTATAAATACTAAGGTCCATATCAACCAACAGTCCGAAACCACGAATTTGGAGGGTGCTCTTACTTTATTTTTACTTGCTCTTGCCTTTGAACTAGTTTTACACTATTTTAACACTAGAGAAGAAAGCAAGGTTAGTAGAACATGAGCTTATTTCTGCTACTCCAGCTATTTTTAGAAATGGATTAAAAATAAAGTTTGATGGGAAGAAATAGGACCATGTTCAAGCAGGCTGACCATGGTTGCCATTATCATGTGAATTTGCAATTTTTTATCTTATGTTGTCTTCAATGTTCAACAAAATGACTTACTTTGAAGTTCTTTCTTTTCCTTTAAGCTTGCTATATAGTAACTACAGTTCAATCTATCAGATGAATACATGTTTACACAAATTATTTATTTAGCTATCCTGGTCTGCATTATTATGCATACAATCTAATTTATGCATCCATCTAATTTAAAAAATTAGAAATACTATATAATGATTTTCATGGAATTAATTTTTAGTTGCCATACAATTAGTCAAACATTCATATTAAGTATTTTCAGGAGTATTTGTATTAGTAATTTATATAGTATATTCATTACCCAAATATCGAGACATGTTAAAACTGACCGAAAATGTCTTATTTGATAATTATGCATTTGTCATAGTTTACTTTGTTTCCTTTTGCGTCCTAATTTAGCATGTATACAACTACATGCTCAATTTTTCTTTCATGAAAACTAAAAACAATCTATAGAGGGATTTTTAGATTGGTGATTTTTAATTTCTCTTTGCATCACTATAAAGCAAAATAGTTTCTGGCTTCTACTGTGGGGTGTGTGTGTGTGTAAGACATGTGTGTGTGTGTAAGACAGAGAGACAGAGAGAAGGAGAGAGAAAAGGAGAGAGAAGATAGTCATCCTATGTAGCCCAGTGCTAGCCTCAAATTGAATATTCTCCTGTCTCAGCATCCTGAGTGCTGGCATTATATGCATGAACCTGCACACCTGGCTTTGGCCTCTGATTTTTGAAACCATAAAATTATTTCATCACTTAAACCCAAACTTTCTAAGTCACATTTTAACCTAAGAACAAGTGCTTTTGCCATTTGTAAACCTTTGAAATTAACATTTCAAAAGAACTTTCCAGACAGCCTTCAAAAAAGCCATGTAAATACATGTCCCTAAAGCACATTAAATTATACCATGCTCCACGGTGTATGTGTGTGGTACTTTCCATAGACAGAAAAGAACTTGTCTTAACTCTTGCGTAGGTCAGCTGGTGGTGGAGGGGCTGACAGGTAAGCATCTGTGAGGGGACTAGAGCTGGGGCAGGGGAGATGTCAGGGGGTGTGAACGTGGGAGGGTGGAGAGAGCTCACACTCTGGGCTCCAAGCTGCTGGCACACTTTGTAACCTTGGCCATGAAGTGATTTATAGGAGCTGTGGGGGCCATACATCAACTTTCTGGTTGGCTTTGTTGACACCTTGTCACATTCTTGTGGGCTTGAGGAATTCATTGTTCTAGTTTGAACTGATAAGAAAGAAAGAGAGAAAGAGAAAGAAAGGAAGGAAGGAAGAAAGAAAGAAAGAAAGAAAGAAAGAAAGAAAGAAAGAAAGAAAGAAAGAAAGAAAGAAAGAAAAGAAGAAAGGAAGGAAGGAAGAAAGGAAAAAGGAAGAAAAAAGAAAAAGAAAGGAAGAAAAAAGAAAGGAAGGAAGGAAAGAAGAATGGAAGGAAGGAAAACGTAGAAAGGAAGGACAAAAGAAGATATGGGAAACTTCTCATGAAGACGTTGGGAAAAGTCCAGGGGGAGGAAGTTCAAGTAGGGACTACTGTTTCTAGCCATGTCACCTTTGCATTTACCAGTGTCCTCAATGGTAGGCATATTGGCTGTGGGGTGTGCTGGCTGAAGCTAGCTTTATTTGCCATCTGAAAGTCCTTTCCTTGTTTGGAGCTTTCTTTTCTTCTGGATGGTTCTTGGGAAAAGGAAGAGGAGAGGAGAGGAGAAGAGAGGGAGAGGCACTTCCTTTAAGAAGTGGCAGATGGAATGGGTGAGCAGAGATTCCAACTGAAGGTCAAATGACACCAATCACTGGGATGGTTGCACAGCAACTTTTGATGTAAGCCGGTCTCTTGTAAGTTTACTCTGCCAAACAGTGTGCTTTTTGGGCAAGGTGCCATTCTGACCTCTCCCCTTTAATGTGTAGTGCCCCATGCTTCACTTCAGATTTTGGCAGCCTGAACGCAGAGGCTGGCATTTGAGCCCAGGGCTTTGAAGACAGAAAAAAAAAATGTTTCAGCATGGGAATTCATCAAGCCACTGGCCAAAAGTTTTGTGTGATGTATACATAGAATATTAGCTCTCACTTCAGTAGAGCAAATGAATGCTCTGCCTGTTGTTTTTTTTTTTAATGTCTCTTTTCTGTCTGATACCATTGTTCTGTTTTTAAAAAGGTATCGCATTCTTTTATTTATTTTTTTCCAGGAACACCAACAGGTCAAGTTATATGTGTTACATCATGGGATTATAAATACTCATACTTCCTTCTGTGGAAATATATGTTTTCTTTAAGAGCAGCCAAGCACAAACATTTCACTCACTAATTCTCTCTGTCATCATGCTGTTGTTGATGGGAAGAGCGAACCTTCTTGCACTCTTGCCAATGGCAGGATGATTAGGGAACATGCACACTTTTGTGATGCGCTGTTAGCAAGCTCATGTTCAAGGTCATAGATCACTTTACCTGGAAGCGCCATTCACACTTCCACTTTGGCACTGCAGCTGCAGCACACTTTATTCTTCAGACTTCTTCCAGTGGTTCTCGGGCCAGTGTTTCACAGAATGTGGATGTGTAAAGTTCTCGCAGTTGTTTTATCAAGCCTTACTGCACTGTAAACAGTAAAGTGCCTGACAAGGTAGGTGGCTGGATCAAAGAGCAGACATGATGATGATGCTCATGTCAATTAAAGCACCAATCTGTAGTGTGACTTGGTGTGACTCTCTAGATGTGGATAGCTTGGTGGGCCCTCAAACTCTGCTTCTTCTGTTTGAGCTCTGTTGGTCCCCATTAACTATCTACCATCTTCCTTGTACCTCCTCCAAGAAATGGAAACAAGAGTTTTTTTTTCTAATTGTACTGTTTGCAGTTATTTCTTTTTCCTCTTTCTTTTCGTTTGGTTTATTACCTGTTGTCACTGTGTTTTGCTTTCTGTACCCTTTGTCTTGCATATACATTTATCTGATTTGGGGAAGGAAAGGGGAATGCAGAAACAGAGGGACAAAGAGTGAACCAATTCAACAGTGACATTTACTAGACCCTATGTTGGAAATGAACTTTGTAACTTGGAGTGGGGGGGGGTGAGAAAGTGGGAGAAAATTAGGAGGGGGTAACACTGATCAAAAAGAAATGTGTTCATTTCCTTACTTATATAACTGTAACCCCTCTGTACATCACTTTTATAATAAAATTTAAATTTAAAAAAATAAAAAATAAATAAAAGCACCAAGTACTTGTGTAAGAATAATGCTAATAAGTGACTAGCATATAGGAATCATAGGTTTCCCATAAGCAACTTATTTTGAAAAGCACATTTTTTTTCTTTTGGATTATCCACCTTACTGCCAAGTGATATTGTGACGAACATGTAACATCTAAATGCACATAAACATATACTATTACAAAGTACATAATATATGTAGTGATATTATGGCATCAAGGTTTGAACGCTGCCATTCTGATAGACCTGTCCACTTTTGCCTCTTGCCTTTTTTCCTAGCTTGGAATTTTCTCTGGTTTCCCAAAGGAGGTTTATTGATAGTGTTTCACTGCTCTCTGCTGGAGAAGCTCAAGCCAGGCCAGGCAGCCAGAGTTAAAGACTTGCAAGGAATGCAGGTGCGATGGTCCTGCTGATAAGCTCCTGGCCTCTGGCATGAAACTCAGTACAAGATTTATTCATGCTAGTCACACAGCAGATGTTACCAGCCATGACATACAGGACAGAAGTAGGTTTCTCAGAGGGAAGAATGGGTAAGATAAAGATGTAATAGTCCAACTTCTTCCTTCAAATGTTGTCTGCTGCAAATATATCCTTTGTTTGGGGAAAGAGCCCTATGTGGTTTCTCAAATTATTTTTCATCCTTCCATTTTAGATGGATTTTTATTTTATGTAACAAACCTATCCACTCCTCCAAAAATATCTTATATCTATAGCTATACCAAATTATAATGCCTTTGGAACAAACTATATATAAGGGCTCCTCCCCCATACTTTTTGTTTTATTTATTTACTTATTAGTTTTATTTATTGTGTGCTGGCACTGGGGCTTGAACTCAGTCTGACCCCTATCCTTTTAAGTCTTTTTTTTTCTCTAAAGGCCAGTGCTCTACCACTTGAGCCACAGCTCAACTTCTGAATTTTGGTGCTTAATTGAACATAAGAGTCTCCTGACTAGCTAGGATTACAGGTGTGAGCCACAAGTACCCAGATCTATACTTCTTTAGCATGGACATGGCTGGAGAAGAATTTAGTAGAAAGTGTATTAGGACATTTTTTTCCCCACAATTTTTTCTAAGCAAGGACAAATTCCAATTTATGCCATCTTTTGCACGAACACGGATTACAGCACCACAATTTTGATATATATTTCTCAAGTTTGAAACAAAAGTAGTATAGAAGTAGCAAAAATTGTAGATGATATTGTTTTAGATGTATATAAAATACTCATTTATACATGTGGATGTGCATGTGTGTTTACACAGACACACATAGATGTAGATGTATTTTGGTGGGAACGGGAAGTGAAGACACAAATTTGACATATCTCCAAAGTGTTTTATGTTCTTTGCTGTCTGGTATCTTTTTCACTTAAAAAAAAACAGCTTGAATAGAAATCATAAAAATCCAGCTCTGCAGCAGCATTACAGTGCTATTTTGTTCTGTAACATTCTAAGTGAATTATTGCTGTACTGTCAAAGAAAACAAAAACATTTGGGAAGGACTGTTTACTTTACAGTGGTTGACCAAAAGTATGCAAGTGGTTATTAAAAAATGTAGACAGCTAACGATGGGAGGTGCCACTTGCACATTCTGAAGTCTATTCACAAACCTTTGACACTAAATGCTGGAGTACTGGTGAGAATAGTAGAGGCAAAAGCATTGTCCAAGGCAGAAACAATCACTTTTCAAGCATCTCAGGTCAAGGCAAATTAAGATGCCTTTATCCCTCAATCTTTATCACTGGTATCTTTCACCCTCTCTCCGCACTGTAAAAAATACAAGGCAAGTTTTGCAACTGTGTTTCTCTCAAAAGTTATGACAGCGAGCCATTTTTATGCTATGAAGAACGTAGTACCCTTGTTATTTAAAGACTAAAATAAAAAAAAAGATCACTGATAATATTAAGGGATTTTTGAATTAAACAAGTATTTCATCTTAGAACTAGAAGGGAAATAAGAGATCCCCTAACATAGTCCCTTCCTAGTAAAGATAATAAAATGTGTACTTATGGAAGATCAATGGTTTGCAGGAGGCCACTGGCATGGTAGGATGGGAGGATGAGTCAGAAGGTTGCTGTTTTTGTGTGATGGTATGTTTGCTTGAGAATCAGACAGCTTACAGTGAAGATCTCACCTGTATCTGCTGGTAAATGTTCATTTAATGTTTAAAGTTTTCTCATCAGAGAACAGATCATTGTTCTAGCTCTCCTGGTCTCCGGGCTAAAATTTACTTTACTTAAAAAAAGAAAATCACTGATAAGTTAGGATTTGGTCATCCTGCTAGTGGAAAAATACTTCTTTCAAAATGGAAATCTTTGTGACAGGCTCTGTTTATCCCTTCCCATGGAGTAAAAGCTAGGAAAAGTGGGTGTGTCTGGCATGAGCCTATCACGTAAAATCTCTCAATAAAATATTGATCAAATGATGTTTGTTTAAAGAAATACACTTAGCCAGGTGCTGGTGGCTCATGCCTGTAACTCATCTGAAGATTGCGGTTCGAAGCCAGCCCAGGCAGAGAAATCTGTGCAACTCTTATCTCCAATAAACTACTCAGAAAAAGGGAGATGTGGCATTGTGGCTCAAGTGGTAGAATGCTATTCTTGAGCACAAAAAGGCTCAGGGACAGCACCCAGACCCTGAGCGTAAGCCCCAGGACTGACAAAAAAAAAAAAAAGAAATATACCAATGTCCTTTTGATGCCTAATGGTTTGTTTTCTGCTTGGTATTTAAGTTGTGAGAAGCCACCACATATTAGATTTAGGGCAGTACAAACAATTGACCATGGTTGCATCTAGAAGATGCTGTGGACGTCCATTCATCCTAATGCTAGGAATAAAAAAGACAACAAGGAGGGAACTGCTAACTTTGGCCTGGCCACCTCTACAACCCCTCCTCCCTGTCCCTGAGTCTTTAGTCTGTGAGTTTTTTGTCCTCCCTGCTCAAGAGACAGTGTCCTTATTCCACAGTTCAGTTGTTTGTGTCTCTTACATGACACAGCATTGGATATTTTTCTTCCCTCTGGTGACATCCTTGGGTGAATCACGTGTTTGCTGGCCAGGATATGTCAATAAGAATTGGCTTAAAAAAAAAAAACTTAAAGGCTTATGAAGCAATCTTGCTTAATAGTAGTGAAACAAAATAAAACTCCAACAAATCCTTTGTGTGCTACTAAATAGTGGAAAGATCTAGTTATGACTGGAACTGACCTGGCTGGGGTATTGTCCTAGACCCAGGGGAACAAAAGCAGTGAAGAAGGGAAGGAGAAGACAGTGTGGGGAGGAAACCAGAAACTGCAGGAGCGCTTGAGTCATCCTGGGGCCTTCAAACAGCCTGCACACCCTCCCTCTCCACCGTGACTGAGAAGCCGGACGTTTCTGATCTTAGAAATGTCCTTGGACATGCCCTTCTTGAAACTGCTCCTTTTCCCCAGGAGTACAGAAGAGGAACCCTTGAAGGGCTCTGTGCTGCAGAATGCAGGCGGTCTAGAGGGTGGGGTTCTAGGTGGCATCTTCCGTCCTTGGGTCTCAGGAAGCATTACCTCTGAGCAGTTACCACCCAAATGGGGTCCACCCTGCCTAAAAAGGAAGTAAGCCTGGGAACCACTGGAGAGCACAAGCCTTGGTGGGTGAGAATGGGCTGAAGGGCAAAGTCCTGCGGGCCGCCCTTTGGGGCCCACATCTCTGAGAATCAGGCAGTGCTATTTCTGTGGCTTCTGCCGGTTGGGCCTCTGCCTACCCCGAAACTGCCTGAACTCTGGGGGAGGAAGGCGTGGGGGACTGCTCTGCGCTTTTGCCAGGGGCCCCTGAAAGGCATCCAGCATCGAAAACAAAACAAGGCCCAGCCCAGGGACATCGCAGCCAGAGCTGCTGAACACAGAAACAAAGCAGCCCGCCCAGGGCAGGGCTTGGGAAAGAAGGGAACATAGGATGTGAGCTGCAAGCTCTCAAGGCCGGGAAACTGAGGCTAGAGAAGCTGTGGCATATCTGGGCAGTGGCCTTACCAGAGGTATAAGGGACATCTGAGGGCTCATCGTTACTGCTTCTATAGTTTTAATCGTTCTGTTTCTAAGGAATTGGTAACCCTGAATGAGCTACTTAATCCATCCCGCCTCCTCCATGAAATGGGGAAATGGGGCTACAGTAATATATTTCTAGGAACTGAGACAGTGTGAACAATTAGCTAAGCAACATAGTTGTTTTATTTGAACCAGAATTGGAGTTGTAAGCAAAGCAGGAATTGTTCATAAATACCTGATCTCTTCCCTAAGAGGTATTTTATGTTTTCTTTTTTTAAACAGGGCTGCTTTCCATAAGGAATACATTTGAGTTAAGATCAGACCAATTATATGATTTTGTTCAGTTTTGATGTGGAGATGTTAAATCAAACTGTAGCTTTCCCTGCCTTCTTCCAGGAAGGGCCCCATGTAAATTAGGAAGAAGCAGGTAATGTGAGCCATAGCATCCTTCTGTTCAGACTCCCTGAATCTGCTTAGTTCCCTAGTGAATGTACATTTATCTGAAGGAACCTTTCCACAAAGTGGAAATCATTCAACTTCAAAGTTGTAATTGGGATAGAAAAGATTTCCCAAGGGGCTCAAGGGTGGTTGTGGGGGTGAAAGCAGGGAGGTCAACATGAATAATGAATGCCACAGGGAGAAGGAAACACTAGTGATATGCGATGTTTGTTTCTGTGGACCCAGTTGTATGGAAGGGATAAGGCCAGTTGAGAACAATTTGTAAGAACTCTTCATCCAAATGTGCTTTATTTACATCTTGCTCTGACACAAACTGGTCTCCTATTGCTAAAGATAAGGATCATAATCATGACTTAATCAGCCCTTCCTGGGTCCTATTGCACTCAATATTCTCTATATACAGTATCTCCTAAGAAATAGTCCCTTTGTGTGTGATGGAATAGGTAAGGCTTAAGTTAAATAACTTACTCGAGACTAGTAAGCTAGAAGAAGCTCCTCTGCTCTTAGCCACTGCAGGGTATCCTGGGTACCCCTCAAGGCCTGTCTTAATCTTAACCTGGATTTAGGTCACTCTATATGCATCGTGGTATTAATCCCTTGTAAATTCAGGGCTAGAATACATTATTGCCAAGGCTACTTAAAAACATTATCATTCTTAATACTTTCTGCAATGCATATTTTATAATGCTTCCCAAGTAATTTCCATTTTATTAAAATCAATGGTGGCTCGTGTGATACAAGAAGGTTAGAGGTTTGAAACCAGGTCCCAGGGAAGGGGGAGGTAAGGAGAGTGAACTGTTACCAGAAAATTAAACCAAAAAAGGGCTGAGAGTGAGGCAAGCAGTAGAGCACCTGCCTAGTAAGTGCAAGGCCCTGGGTTCGAACTCCCAATGCCCCAGAGAAAAGAGGTAGTTCTAGACAGTGCTCGTCAGCTCACCACCATGACCCAACTAGCAGTGGTCTCCTTCACTCACTCTATCATGAACATCCTCTTGCTTTTTGAAGGTACAGTCTGTTGAATTCCTCCTAACAATAAAAATGCAATAATAAAATAAGTTCAATGATCCTTTCCCTACGCATGTAGTGTTTAAAGCAGATGATTCAAGAAGCAGATCGAGCCTGGGCACTGTCCCCAAGCTTTTGTGCTCAAGGCTAGCGCTCTATTACAAGAGCCACAGTTCCACTTCTGGCTTTTTGGTAGTTAATTTGAGATGAGTATCACAGACCACTGCCCAGACTGGCTTCAAACCATGATCTTCATATCTCAGCCTCCTGAATAGCTAGGTTTATAGACTAGTCACTGGCACCAAGCTCTGAAAACTTTTTTAAAGGGCTTTTTCTAAAGGGTTCAGTGGATAATGATAAAAAATAAACATTTTTGCCAAATTGAGTATGGTCAGTTAATAAATAAGTATTAAATAAATATATAAATATAAATGATATAAACAAGTAAAGATAATAACTATGTATTAAAGAACATGATGTCTCTTTTTGCTGTCAAGGGTAAATTGAAAATAACAAAATGCTTAAATAATGCAGGCTGACCCATTGTAACAATGAGATGTACAAGACACTAGGTTGAAAACAAACTTTACAACTTGAGGGGGGGAAGGAGTCAGGGAGGTGGGGAGGGAACGAAGGGTAGGGGAAAAACAAAGGAGGAGGTAACAATGCTCCATAGGAAATGTACTCATTACCTTACTCATGTAACTGTAACCCCTCTGTACAGTATCTTTACAATAAAAAATATATACAAAAAGGGGCAAATTGAAAACTAATCTATACTGCTTTTTATTTCTAAAGAAGGTTGTGACTTCATACATGTTATTTGATCTCCTCAAAGTAAGTGGTCCAAATAGTTTGGTATTATTGTTTTCCTAAGTAAAATTTTCTATGACGTTTTTGTATCCTAATGGAATTGTACTTCTCTATTCTCAATGATTATTAGCATCCTTGAAATTGTGTGATTAAACTCACGGTAGCAATCGCCACCATTGTGACCTTAGACATGTTTTGTCATCTCTTTGTTGCCTTGGCTACAGAATAGTAATGATAACACTATCTCTTGTAACTTATAATGGGTTGCAAAGACCATTAAATGAGTTAATTACCTAGCTTGCTTCATGCCATACCTGATGCAAAATAAGTGCTGTGCAAGGGCCAACAAAACGTGTTAATCATTTGTGATTTCCAAACTGGATCAAATACATTTTATAATAAGGCTTCTAACTGATTCTAGTTTTAATTGCTATTCAGTAGTATAATATATGACTTATATTTGCATAATAGTCTTTTCTTTTAAGAATTTTTTATGCTCTTTGACTTGATCCTCCTTTTAGCCTTTTAGCACGTGGGTTGCCCTCCTCCCCTCCCTTCCCCTTTTTGTGCTAGGTATTGTACTCTGAGCCTTGAGCTTTCTAGGCAAGCACCCTACCACCTGAGCTACCAACAGCTCCCTACCCTTTGTCACTTTTGCTTTTAGTTTGTTATTTAGATAGGGTCTCATGTTAACTTTGCTTGGGCTAGTCTCAAACCATGATCCTCCTACTTTTGCTTCCCAAATAGCTATGGATGTATACCATCATGCCCAGCCTAGAAAGGGTGTTTGCTAGTTTGTTTGTTTTTACTGTTGATTCCTTAGAATTTTACCTAGAGAAGCTTTTAATTTTGGATCATGACATATAATGGGTCATGTTAGTAATTAATTTATTAACTCTAAATTACAAATTGTTTCGGATAGAGTTTGTCTTCAATTTTTCTCTTGTTATCCCTCTTCCTCCCTCCCTTCTTCCTCCACTTCTTCCTTCCTTCCTTCCTTCCTTCTCTTCTGCCTTCCTTCCTTCCTTCCTTCGTCCTCCCTCTTTCTTTCTTTCTTTCCTTCCTTCCTTCCTTCCTTCTTTCTTTCTTTCTTTTTCTTTCTTTCTTTCTTGCTTGCTTGCTTTCCTTCCCTTCCTTCCTTCTTTCCTTCCTTCCTTCCTTCCTTTCTTCCTTCCTTCCTTCCTTCTTTTCTTCCTTCCTTCCTCCCTTCCTTCCTTTCTTCCTTCCTTTCCTTCTGTGTCAAACTCTCAGAGAAACATGAATGATTCCAGCCAGCACTGGTCAAAATTAATAGATTATAATAGATTAATAGTAGGTTTTAAATGACATCACGAGATCCATATTTCTCAGATACAAGAGGTTTGTTGTTATGTTCTTTTGGCTAGAGATGACTCTTCTTCCTGGGAAATGTAGCCACAGAATGCTGGGTTGGAGTCTTATTAATATCCTTGTAGATTGAAAACAAAATGTTTTCCCTGTAAGTTTTTGTTCTTTTCCACTTGGCAAACCCGGTGATTTGCCACATGAGCGAATGTGTGTCTCATTTGCTTATTTTCTCATGCACCAGTAGCCCTGGTGACATGGTCTGGAATGTGCATAACCCCTGGAAATAAATAGCATGCTGGGAATGCACTTGCTTTGTGACCACAGCATCCTCGATGCACCTTACAGCACACACTAAAGATCTCAGACCAGTTTCCTCTCTAAAAGATCATTTTAAGGCAAGCCCTCTTTCCCATATTTCCTGGTTTAAATAACGATAAGAAAAAGATTTTTGTAACTAATGGTTATCGATTGTGAGTCCCTTGTCCAAAATTACTTTAAAATGTTATCTGATGATAACAAATGTCTGTGCCACGGAAATATCCTTTTTTCTTTTTAGATGAATTACTAGGTTAAACTGGACCAACAGAAAGATAAGATTCTTAAACTTGGCATGCATATATGCTTTTGTGATCTATGATTCTTTACTCTTTAAAAAAGAATGGATATTGAGCTGGACATAGTGGCTCATGTCTGTAATACTAGCTACCCTAGAAGAGGTGATTGGGAGGATCAATATTCTAGGCCCAGTGTAGGCAAAAAGTTATCAAGCACTCATAAAAAAGAAATATGGGAGTGGTGTACATAAGTGTAAGAAGTAGGATCCAGGTTCAGGCCAGCCCATCCAAAATAAAGGTTACTACTTCATAAGTAACTAAAACAAAAACAGCTAGTGCCATGGCTCAGGTGGCAAAGCTCCTGACTAACAAGCTTGAAGCCTGAAGTTCATACCCCCCAATACCTCAAAAAAG